CAATTTCATCTTCTCGGAATTCACTGACAGTTTTAGCTGAACTACCTATACTCTCACACCATTCTATAGCCTGTTTATCTAAAGGTTCTAAAGATTCTTGAGTTTCTGGATCTATCTGGCACTAAATACAAAAATATCAGTTTTTAACCAAATTAAAATACTCTGTGGGATTTTGCAATATTGAGACACAAGCCCAAAATGTAGGTTAGAAGATGTCATTACAGTAACTGGAGGTGGTTGATATGAAGATGTGAAATAACAGTAAATCAATTTCCATAGTCTAATTTTGATGTAAAATGTATTTCATTCATCCAAAACTTTTCAAAGACATTCAAAAGTTTATCAAAAGCTTTTCAAATTAAAAACATCATCACTATAAAGTCACTAAATTTAAATCCAGTTTATTGAAGATCATTATCATTATCCTTAGTCTCGGAATTAAAATCTTAGAATATATCATACCTTGACAGTAAGGAACATGGATAAAAATTTACATTTATCACCAATTAACATACAATTACTAATACATGGTAAACATTCTTTTACAGTGTCTTCTACTGGTACTGGAGCTATATTCTCGCCACCAGCAGTAATTATTATTTCTATAAAACAATCAATTTATTAGAGTAAACAATCAGTATCTTCTACTGGTACTGGAGCTATATTCTCACCACCAGCAGTAATTATTATTTCTATAAAACAATCAATTTATTAGAGTAAACAATCAGTATCTTCTACTGGTACTGGAGCTATATTCTCACCACCAGCAGTAATTATTATTTCTATAAAACAATCAATTTATCAGAGTAAACAATCAGTATCTTCTACTGGTACTGGAGCTATATTCTCACCACCAGCAGTAATTATTAATTCTATAAAACAATCAATTTATTAGAGTAAACAATCAGTATCTTCTACTGGTACTGGAGCTATATTCTCACCACCAGCAGTAATTATTATTTCTATAAAACAATCAATTTATTAGAGTAAACAATCAGTATCTTCTACTGGTACTGGAGCTATATTCTCACCACCAGCAGTAATTATTATTTCTATAAAACAATCAATTTATTAGAGTAAACAATCAGTATCTTCTACTGGTACTGGAGCTATATTCTCACCACCAGCAGTAATTATTATTTCTATAAAACAATCAATTTATTAGAGTAATCAATCAGTATCTTCTACTGGTACTGGAGCTATATTCTCACCACCAGCAGTAATTATTATTTCTATAAAACAATCAATTTATTAGAGTAAACAATCAGTATCTTCTACTGGTACTGGAGCTATATTCTCACCACCAGCAGTAATTATTATTTCTATAAAACAATCAATTTATTAGAGTAAACAATCAGTATCTTCTACTGGTACTGGAGCTATATTCTCACCACCAGCAGTAATTATTATTTCTATAAAACAATCAATTTATTAGAGTAAACAATCAGTATCTTCTACTGGTATTGGAGCTATATTCTCACCACCAGCAGTAATTATTATTTCTATAAAACAATCAATTTATTAGAGTAAACAATCAGTATCTTCTACTGGTACTGGAGCTATATTCTCACCACCAGCAGTAATTATTATTTCTATAAAACAATCAATTTATTAGAGTAAACAATCAGTATCTTCTACTGGTACTGGAGCTATATTCTCACCACCAGCAGTAATTATTATTTCTATAAAACAATCAATTTATTAGAGTAAACAATCAGTATCTTCTACTGGTACTGGAGCTATATTCTCACCACCAGCAGTAATAATTATTTCTATAAAACAATCAATTTATTAGAGTAAACAATCAGTATCTTCTACTGGTACTGGAGCTATATTCTCACCACCAGCAGTAATTATTATTTCTATAAAACAATCAATTTATTAGAGTAAACAATCAGTATCTTCTACTGGTACTGGAGCTATATTCTCACCACCAGCAGTAATTATTATTTCTATAAAACAATCAATTTATTAGAGTAAACAATCAGTATCTTCTACTGGTACTGGAGCTATATTCTCACCACCAGCAGTAATTATTATTTCTATAAAAAATCAATTTATTAGAGTAA